TTCCCACCACAACTGAAGTGTGTCACCAACAGCACTGAAAAGTAGGACCAAAGATTCAACAGTGCAGATTCACACTGGGAAACCCCCCCTTCGGCACGATGAGACAGAGAAGGTTGACGGCCGGGCACGGTGGCTCACGCCTGTTGTCCCAGCACTTTGGGAGGCAGAGGCGGATTACCTGAGGTCAGGAGTGTGAGACCAGCCTGACCAACATGGAGAAACCCCATCTCTTCTACAAACACAAAATTAGTCGGGCGTGGTGGCACGTTCCTGTAATCCCAGTTACTCGGGAGAATCCCTTGACTCCAGCAGGCGGAGGGTGTGGGAGCTCACCCCACTGCACTCCAGCCTAGACAACAAGAGTGAAACTCTATCAAAAAAAAAAAAAAGAAAGAAAGAAAGAAAAGAAAATGGATGGGAATAACAGGGGGCTTCAAACATTGTCCCAGAAACTTCAACATTCTCTGGTAGCAAATAATCCTTCACTATCTTAATCATTCCCTCATTGTTTTATCTCCCTCACCAGAACGTACAGCAAAACACTGACGCTGGTCATTTACTTGGATTTTTAAAAAGATAGGTTCATTCTTCTAAAAAAAAAAATTGAGCACTGAATGGATTTTTAAGCACCGATTACCATACCCTATGTGGTGGGAAAACTAATATTCATGCAAAGATGTTCACAGGCTAACACTCAAAGCCTGTGAGTATGTTATTTCACATGGCAGCAGAGACTCTGCAGATGGGATTATGCTGAGGATCTTGAGAAGAATATTCTGGATTATCTGGGTGAGATCAATGTAATCACGAGGGTCTTTTTTTTTCTTTCTTTTTTTTTTTTTTGAGATGGAGTCTCACCCTGTTGCCCAGGCTGGAGTGCAGTAGCACCATCTTGGTTCACTGCAGCCTCTGCCTCCAGGGTTCAAGCGATTCTCCTGCGTCAGCCTCCCAAGTAGCTGGGATTACAGGCGTGCACCACCACACCTGGCTAATTTTTATATTTTTGGTAGAGGCAGGGTTTCCCCGTGCTGGCAAGGCTGGTCTTGAACTGCTGGCCTCAAGTGATCCACCCACCTTGGCCTCCCAAAGTGCTGGGATTACAGGTGTGAGAAGCCATGCCTGGCCCACAGGGTCTTTATAAGAGGGAAGTGAGTGAGCCAAGAGCTGTGGCTGTGAAAGCAGGGGCTGCTGTGATGCCAGTGGTGTGGGGAGACCATGAGCCTAGGAATGTGAGCAGACTCTAGAAGCTAGAAAAAGCCGGAACTGATTCTCTCTAAAGCTCCCCCACCCACACCTTGATTTTCCATACTAATACATGTATTATTTTCAGCCACTTAGTTCATGGTAATTTGTCACAGCAGCAATAGAGAACTCATACGCCTTAGAGACACAGTGTCATAGAAACACCTAAATCTCGGGACGTAGCATGTACCCATTCTGCTTTTATCTGTGTTAAGGGGGCTGTCAGCAAACTGAGATCCAGGGAACAACAGAAAGGTCTGTGACGTGACATCCAGCAGACAAACCCAAGCAGGAGAACCCGCCCTGCCCCAGCCCCTCCCTCCTCCACAGACGCAACAGTGTGCCATCGCTGGTTCCACTGTGACACCTGCCCGGTCACAGCAAGAACCCCTAAAAAGAAGTAAGATTCATCATGTCTCAAGTTACCCGTTGCACTGACATACAAAACCATCAATGGCAGAATCGATTTACTTGACATTTTCAAAATTAGAAAAAAAAAGAGCCATAAAGGGCCTCAGATTGTGAGAATAGCTTTTAATTTAAAACAGTTGAAGCAATAAAGCATCCATTTCTCTTTCCATCACAGGCAAATACTCTCCCAAAACATCTGATATAGTTTAACAACAACTGTGACTAGTGCAAAATAAAATAAATACAAACTCTTTCAGGAGTCAGCATCGAAGCCTGCTGGACAGGTGGGCACAGGAGCCGACTGGGGGTCTGCCGAGGCCAGGGCAAGCAGACCCTGACAGCGGAAGGCTTCCGCGGCGCATCAACACACCCAGCTTTGAACAGACTCGACGGTACCTGGGGGGGAACCACAGGAGAACTTGGCCTACAATGAAACAAATCTGCCGCACACCTCATGTGGCTAATATCCTTGGCACCTAGAAGACACTGGAAGAGCAAAGGTAGCAGCCCCCAGGCAGAGCTGAGGACAGTCGGGTTCATTTGCTTTTTTTTTTTTTCTGAGACAGAGTTTTGCTCTTGTTACCCAGGCTGGAGTGCAATGGCGCGATCTCGGCTCACCGCAACCTCCGCCTCCTGGGCTCAGGCAATTCTCCTGCCTCAGCCTCCTGAGTAGCTGGGATTACAGGCACGCGCCACCATGCCCAGCTAATTTTTTGTATTTTTTTTTAGTAGAGACGGGGTTTCACCATGTTCACCAGGTTGGTCTCGATCTCTCGACCTCGTGATCCACCCGCCTCGGCCTCCCAAAGTGCTGGGATTACAGGCTTGAGCCACCGCGCCCGGCCTGCTTTTGTTTTTTAATTGGGATCACACATAGATATTGGTTTTTAGGCAGAAAAAAAGATACTTCTTTCTGGGAGATGTTCTGTGCCTCACCGTGCTTCTGACTCCAGCAACAATATTTGTGTTGTTTCTGTTCACTGAGACGCTTTGCCGAACTGCCTTTCCTGTTCATGGATTTCTCTGCCTACCCCGCGCCACGTAAGTCTAGCATGGCACCGTCCATTAGAAGTACCATGTTACCCACTGTCTAATTTTACATTCTTTAAGGGCCACATTTGTTTCTAAAGATAAAAAGGATAAATTTAATTTTAATAATATCTAGATTACATTGCTCATATTTTATTGTCCTTTCAGCATGTTAGCAACATGAAATACTGATGGAGTATTTTAAATTCCTTTTTGGTACCCAGCCTTCAGAATCGGGTGTGTATGGTATGTGTACAGCACACTCTCGATTTGAACAAGCCACATTCTGAGCAGTCACTGCCACGTGGCTGTCAACTCCCACGCTGAGCAGCACAGGTCTAGAGAGTCTGAAGCTGACTCCTTAGAGTGATCGACTGAGTGGAAAATCCCTGTAACACTGTGGAGGTGACCTCAGACACCAGCTCCAAGTACAGAACCTTGCTCTGTAGCCTGGGACTTTTTATCTCACGTGAGGATATTATTACATTTTATCTAACCCCATCCCCAGGTCCTGCCCACCCCTGCCACCTCCCCACTCCCCCCAGAAGGCCTGACGCCTGCAAGATGATGAGACGGCCTTTCTGTGACAGACAGTTTGGGGATCACAGCTCTAACTGAATTAGAGTTTTGTTTCCCATCCTCTTCTAGAATGTTTAAATATTCTATAAAGGTGTCAGGTTTACATGAAGGCAGTTCTTATGCTTTCCTAGGAGGACATCTTAAATGGATTTTTTGTTTTGTTCTTGAGGGAGATGGAGGCAAAGCACCTCACGGACTGAAACGTTGTTTGTTTCAAGAGTAGAAAAAAGTGGGGCCGGGCGTGGTGGCTCAGGTCTGTAACCCCAGCACTTTGGGAAGCCAAGGCAGGTGAATTGCTTGAGGTCAGGAGTTCAGGACCAGCCTGGCCAACATGGTGAAAGCTCATCTCTACTAAAAATACAAAAATTAGCTGGGCATAGTGGCATGTGCCTACCTCCCAGCTACTTGGGAAGCTAAGGCAGGAGAATTGCTCGAACCCAGGAGGCAGAAGTTGCAGTGAGATGAGACTGCACCATTGCACTGCAGCCTGGGCAACAGGGCAAGACTTCACCTCAAAAAAAAAAAAAAAAAAAAAAAAAGAGGGATGATTACCCAGAAAAGTATAGTTAAGTGGAGCAGGAACACAAACGGGGCGGCGGAGGCACTAAGAATAACACGTCCTCACCTAGGGAGTATCAGCTCTAAGAATGCAAAAATACAACGTCCAGATCTCTAAGGATCCCTCACGTTTCACGTCGGACCCTACTGGTAACCACAGGAATATAAAAATAAAATCTTAGGGCAACAGGGGACTTCTGAGCTCAACTAGTCTAACCAACTGTTTCAAATGAAAAGGCCCAGAGAGGTACAGCGACCCAGCCCATCTCAGTTAGAGTGGAGTCAGGATACAGACCCAGGGCTCTCACTGTGAACTGCAGGGAAGGCTCGGGTTCAGGTAAACGGAATAAATGACTCAGAAAGCAGACGCTGGAGCTATCCCCACTGGACTTGCTACAGCCCAAGTAAGCGCGGGGAAATGGGAGGCACATTCTCTCGTAGGTGGAAGGAAAAAGCCTAGTCAATTCCAAAATACGGAATCACCGCTGATGTAAAGCATCACTAACACATGATTCTTCCAACAGTCTTTTCTGCATAGTTTTTTCTTTAAAAGAAAATCCCAGTGTGTACCAAACTGGATTTCTGATTAGTTATATGGGCGTTTAGATCAATTGGCAAAACAAAAACTTTGATACATTACCTTTTCCAAAGACACATTCATCGGAATTCTACGCAAATGGATATCAAAAGATATTTACAGGAAGAAAGTGTTGTTTTTCACACGGACACCCATATACAGTGAGAATTTCACAATTAGACCACCACACCTCACACAGAGGATCCCCAACAGACTGATAATGAGTTGACACATCCATGTGTTTTTCTACTTTTCAGTTACAAATCATTGTGTCTACGCAAGTGTGAAGCTAAGTGGTACATTCCAGACTTTTCTAGGGGAACCTGCCTTGTATATGTCAAGATAAACAAATAAATACGTTTTTAAGCAAGTAAGAAACCCATTATTTGCTCGTTTCTCCCAACTCTCAATCTGAAGTAAAGAATAGCACATATACAAAACTTCGCCTTACAGAAATAGCCCTTTGCGCAGTGAGGCAGAAAAAAAGGCAGCCACAGTGTGCTTTCCTACAGCATGCCTAGGCATCAAAGGGGCCAGTTAATGCAGTGAAACAATGTATAGCCTGTAGTCTTCAATGCTGATTGTACACCACTGATTTTCAAACTTTTGTTAGAAAATTTTTATTTTGTTCAAAATACACATGCTATCTTTGTCCACAATTCAATCCAAACCCCCCAGTCACTCCCAGTTCCAAAAAAAAGGTCTTTGCTTTTATCACGTTGTTGACGACAAGCCATTTCTGTGACACTCGCTGTGCCCTAGGGGACTGGATTTTGTAAGGCTGCTTCGTGTGGGGATTTCCACAGGAGTCAGTGACTCTCAGAACAGAGTGGGGCTGCTTTAGGAAGTCCAAGTCAATGTGACAAGGTGACACCAGTGGGCACAGTCTGATAGAAAAGTACTGCACCGGGAGCTCCCTCCTTCTGCCAGTCTTATCTGTTCCCACATTGAGGAAAGCATGGAGCAGAAGAGGCAGGGAGCAGTCCACCAGGACCCACCATGGCACACCGTATTCTACTCAGTGAAGGCTCACTGTAACCGTGGACCACCATATTCTATTCATTGAAGGCTCACCGTAACCGTGGCACACCGTATTCTACTCAGTGAAGGCTCACTTTAACCGTGGCACACCGTATTCTACTCAGTGAAGGCTCACCGTAACCAAGCTCACTGCATCCTCAAAGCATGGCTAGAAAGAGAGGGCAGGTGTCATCACGCCATTGTGCAGATGAGAACAGGGAGGCACAGCAGGGACGAGGGACCCACCCAAGGCCCACAGCCAGCTAGGAGCAGGGCTCAGGCGTCCAGGCTGGGAGCTTCAGATACCATGTCCCTCACTCACGTGGCACCAAAGGACCACCTGTGAGACAGGCCCCCACTGTGCCCAGAATCCTGACCGTTCACAGCTCACTACATCCTCACCCAGTGTCTGCTCTATTTCACCCGGCTGTTTCTATTTTCCTAGTTTCTAAAAAGATCCTTTCAACCACACAAATACATGATAAACAGACAGCAATAAATCCTTTTTCATTTGACCGAAGAATCTGAAAAAGCAATTCTAGACATTCTGGAATTTGGTACAGAGCAGTAGGAAAAGTACAGAAATTACAGAATGCTTTCATTCTACTTTTTATCACATTGGAAACGCATCTAATCCCAAGTCACAGCTAAAATGCTGAAATAATCAAAATGGAAAGGATCGTCTTTCATAACGTCATATAAAGTTTCTCTGCATCTAAAATCCTTAGAGCATCCAAGATCACACCGTTGGTCACATCAGAGAAGCAGCGAAGGCAAGTCAGAAGGTGATAAACCAAAAGAAGGCAGAGATGAGACTCTGGCCCCAGAAAAAAAGGAAATGGAGGCAGATAGATCTCAGAGATGGGAAAGCTACTGACAGACTTAGGGCACACAGCATGACTCCAAAGAGTTATCATGTGAGATGGTAAAAAGAGACGAGCTATTTTAACTAAAAATAAACGCCATACCTTTTGGGGAAAGGGCTGCTGAGGAAAAGAGAATTTATCTACCTTTGACAAAGTACAATATTATGCTGCTGTGGGCATCTAGCGTTACACCAGCAAACGCCCCAAACTCAAGTAAATTCTTGACAGCCTTAAAGGCATAACTCAGCCCTTGTTACTCCTTAAAAATCTAAGTGGGGAACTAATCTCCTTGAAGCTTCCTGAGTTGTAGTTTTGTTAAAATACTTACTCTCTTTTTTCAGATATGCTGAATACCAATTACTGTTCAGCCTTTTAAAAGCAACTTGTCACAGATTTTCTAGTGGACTCACTTTTCTAGTAAAAGTCTCACACTCGGTCACTCTCACACACATTCACACCATTGTATTATGAATTTTGATATGATTTAAATTAAAAACATCTTTCATTGCAGAGGTTCTATTATGGACAGAGCATAATATCTACATGGATACATCAGAAATTATTGTATGTCATGAAAAAAATTATGTCACAAATAAAGCCCCGCCCAATTGCTGACTTTCTATATGAAACACAAGTGGGCTTTTCATTTGCTGTAGGTAAGGCCAGACCACTGGCCACATTATTTGGTTTCTCTGGAGGCCACTACCACTGACTCCCAAAGCAAAATAGAGGGCTGGGGACACATCCCCATTTTTGATGTGCTGATGGCAGATTCTCCACCAGCAATATGAATACTTTTATGTTCTTAAATATCCTCTCCTTGAACATTTATAAAAACTATCTACAATACAATAGTGTATCATCACTAATAGAAATTTCTTCCCAGTTCTATTTCAGAAGGCATCAACTGATCGTGCTCTTTAAATAAACTATAAATACTGCATGTACTCCTTCATGTCTGGCTGTTTCAGCAACTTCTTCTTCTTCCGCGTCTGTTTCTTTTTTTTCTTTTTCTTTTTTTCTTTCTTTTTTTTTTTTTTTTTTTTTTTGGCAAATTAAAAAGGCGTATGGCTTCCTCTCGCCAATTTTTACATTTGAGGTTTAGCTTGGTATTCTGCGGTAAAAGTACATGTAGCCCAGGTCTTTAGGGGGCCTTTCTGAGGCACAGACTTTGTGGTCATTGTAAATCACCCATCTGAAAACAAGACAGAACATTGGGTGAATTTAAGTCAGTTTTGGGAAACTTTGCAGAAAGAAGTTGCTACATCATATGGCACACAACACTTAACCATGATGTTTTAAGATACGAAACTCAAGCTTGTTGTATACAAAATACCAGAATGCTGGCAGGGAATCACAACTGCTTCTTTTTTTTTTTTTTTTTTTTTAAGAGATAAGGCCTCATTCTTTCCCCAGGTAGCAGAATCTGCAGCTTCGAACTCCTGAGCTCAAGGGGCCCTCTTGCTTCAGCCTCCTGAGTAGCTGGGAACACAGGCATGCCTTCATGCCAGCATGCCTTCATGCCGTCACGCCCAGCTACAACTGCTTTGTGATTCTTAAGCTCAGTCGAAAAGTAGTTACTAAAATATATCAGGAGCCTCCAAACATTGTAACCTTTGATTCCATAATTCCCTTTATAGAAATCCGTAGACAGCCTCAGAAATTGAGTCAAAGAATTATGTACAACAATGCTTAAAAAAAATCCATGCAGTGAACTATTAGAATTTCTTCAAAGATTATTTGGCAAAGTGAGAAAATAATCACAATATAATATGAAATGGGAAAACACAGGTGAAAGCATTGTATGCACTCCGCATATACTTTAAGCTTTTAGTTAACCTGTGCATACTTATATGTAGTATGTGCGTAGACAGACATACACATACTTTCTTCCAACAAGCCAAAACTACAGAGAAAAATATCTCAAAATGTAGACAACGGTTATTGTTAGGGTTCCAAGCACATATTCTTATATATTCTTATATTTATAAATTATTTACAATGAATTTTATTGCTTTTAAAATTATAATTAAGCTTTTTTCTTTTAAAAAGGATTTTCACTTTTTTTCTTTTACTTCACTCCATAAAGTGTTTTTAAAAGAGCCATCATGATTGCAATAAAAATAATTCACTATAAGGATAAGTCCCAGCCAGGCACAGTGGCTCACGGCTGCAATCCCAGCACTTAGGGAGGCCAAGGCAGGTGGATCACTTGAGGTCAGGTGTTCAGGACCAGCCTGACCAATATTATGAAACCCTGAATCTACTAAAAATACAAAAAATTAGCCAGGTATGGTGGCACACGCCTGTAATCCCAGCTACTCGGGAGGCTGAGGCAGGAGAATCACTTGAACCCGGCAGGTGGAGGTTGCAGTGAGCTGAGATCACTCCACTGCACTCAGCCTGGGAAACAAGAGTGAAACTCGCATCTCAAACAAACAAACACAAAAAAGATAAATCCCTGTGCTCAGCTATTTTATTAATCAAGTTGAGAAGACAAAACTAAAAGACACACAGTGGAACCCAGGTGAGAACCGGCCCCTCCTGCAGTGGGAGGGAGGGACGGAGCAAAGGCCACGCTCAGGTGGCCTCCAGGTGGCCCGAGTGCTGCCCTCAGGCAGAAGGGCCGACCCACAGCCACTGTCCAGACCTGTGGGAAGGGCACCGGTGGGGCCTGTGGAGATCCAGCCCGGGGGGAGGGTTCTGAAGAAAGCAGCCTCCTTTCACTGCACAATCGTCTCATTCCCAGTTCCCCACACACTTACAGTTCTGCTCAGGAGCGGAGAGAAGCCAGCGCGAGGCTGCAGTAAGGGAGAGCGCTGAAGGTTTAGAGCCGCCAGACAAAGCGCCGGTGACCCAGTTACATCTGAGCATCAGGTAAGCAATACGTGACTTCAGTATCGGCGTGCCCCATGTAATGTTTGGTACACAGACTCTTTGAGATTATTTATACTAAAAAATTATCCACTATTTATCTGAAATTCGATCTAAATAGGGCATCCGGGTTCTTCTTGAATGTTTCCCTTTGTTGGCTAAATATGGCAATCCTAGGGAGGTCGCAATCACAGCATACGTTCTGCTGCAAGATGCGTCTCTATTTTGGGAAGTCACTTCAGTATGACGGTTGCAAGTGGCTTTTGACTTACTAGCTAAGGTCAAGCTCTTCTGCCTCCCTGAGTCTCAGCGTCTTGATATGTAAAAAGCATTCACGGTATACCCTTTACAAGACCAGTGTGAGAACCAAATGAGATGGCACACAGTGTACCTAGGAGAGAGCTGGGCACACAGTAGGTACTCAATAAATCACAGCTGTCATTTACCTTCTAAAAACGACTCACCTTCCTTCCTTTTTGATATGGCAAATGTAATGGCCACTCATCGTGGATGTTCCCATGTGACTGATGAACGCAAACAACTCATACGCTGTAAAAGAGGAAACAGCTCAGTTACAAGGCAGCACTTCCAGACCGAAGAGAGTTCAAAACCAGCACTAGCACCATCCAGCAACTGTTTAGGTTTGAAACATAAGGTCTCTTTACTTTGCTGCGTTGACAACACACACACACATTCAACCTGAAAATTTGTGATCACAAAAATAGGACATAAATTATCAAAGCACAGCTGATGTTCAATTCGAATGTGGAAGAGGATTCAAAAATCCCACAGCCTGGTCTGGCGGCGAGCTTGTGGGTCTAAAAGAGTGGTCCTGGCTCTCCCACTTCCAAACATGAGGGTGGACAAAGTGTTCCGTCTTTCTGAGCCTGTTTCTTTATGGAGATTAAAAAAGAAATCCACCCACTTTGCAGGGTTGTATGAAACTTAAATGAGCAATTCAGACTAAAATACCACACAAATGTCAAAACTACAAGGAAGGAGCAGATAGTTGTTATCATTTATAGAAAAGGACAATGCTTTGTGCAAGATGTTTCACTTGTTCATGATTGTAACTTATGTGGGACCAAACTTCAGGCTTCATGCTTTCTGAACAAGGAGGTACGTGGCCTCTTAGAGGGTGAGACCAATGTTTGTTCTCTAACAGGTGCCTCTGCACCAGGGCCGGACTCTGTGGTATCCACGTTGAATCCGTTTTAGTTCATGTTGCCAAGGTGGGCTCTGCAGACGAGAACCGCCCCACTCAGCAAACTGTTCCAGACTGCACTGAGGTCGTCTGGAAACTGAAAGTTCACAAGACTTCTGAGTAACTGAGAGTAAATAAAATGCACGTCTGCTGAATTTAATAAGGAAAAATGGGCTTGCATATTGATTTTGCTAGTGTTTCACTTTTACTACATTTTTCCAAAAAAAAAAAAAAGTATTGGTTCCAGACAGACCTTTTCTCCTGCGCCTCTGACTCATTCTTTCTCACTTTGCACTCAGCCTCATTCAGCGTACTCAGCTGTCAATGCTCAGCCCTCCTCTGACTCTTCAGCAGCACCACGCACTGCTGAGCACCCCTTTCTTCCTCGAACACTCGCCGGGAGTCACTCTCCTGGTTGTCCAGCTGCCTGACTTCTTCTCTTCATCTGCCTGACCTTTGAATTTCGGTGATCTGGGGTTCAAACCTCCCTCTTCCCCCCATCCAGACTCTTTCTCTCTTTCTCTCTCTCTTTGGCTGATGTCATGTCGTCTTATGGCAGTAAATGATACTGACCCAGAAGCACCAGGTTCCCCACAAATACGCACTGCATGACGGGCAAGGGGGCGGCTTCCTTTCCGGCCGCACTCTGTTGGTCTTGTTTTGTCTTTTTATTTTTTGAGGTGGAGTCTCGCCTTATCAGCCAGGCTGGAGTGCAATGGCGTGATCTTGGCTCATTGCAACCTCTGTCTCCTGAGTTCAAGCAATTCTCCTGCCTCAGCCTCCCCAGTAGCTGGAATTACAGGTGCGCACCACCATGCCCAGTTAATTTTTTGTATTTTTAGTAGAGACAGTATTTCACCATGTTGGCCAGGCTGGTCTCGAACTCCTGATCTCAAGTGATCTGCCCACCTCAGCCTCCCAAAGTGCTGGGATTACAGGCGTGAGCCACTGCGCCCAGCCCATTGGTCTTTTTTTAAATGAAAGTGAAATTGTCGTCATTACTCTACCCCAAAACCCTCCAGTGGCTCCCTGAATCTCTGAGAAAATCTTACTCTTGAAGTGGCCTCTGAAGTCCCCTTACCTCCTCCCCTTCTCCCCCTTACTCCGCTCCAGCTACCATCGCCTCCTGGCTGCTCCTCAAACACTCTCGGCATGCCCCGACCTTCAGGCCTTCAGACCTTCTGCTCTTTCCTTCTGAAACTCTCCTTTCAGATGTCACATGACTCACTCGTCACTTCACTGAGATCTCAGGTCCAAGTGTCACTTCATCAGAGAGGCCTTCCTGAACCTTCTTCCTAAACATCAACCTCCTCCCACCCCGCCCTCACTCCTGCGCTCGCATTGCTGTTATCCTGCTTTCCTGTCCCCACAGCGGAAGGGACACCTGCCATGTCGCATCCTTACCTGTGCGTGGATTTACTGTCTGACACCTTTTACCCCAGGCTAGAATAGGCTCCATAAGGACAGGGGGTTTGTTATGTTTACTGAACTATTCCAGGCACAGAAAACAGTGCTTTGCACACTGTAGGTACTTAGTATTTGCTAAACATATAAATAAATGAGTGAATGAAGGAATGACTCCTTTCACTTCATCTCCTCACACGTTTTTATATCTTCTTACAGTGTGTATATTTTTGCAAACCTCCTACCAAAGCATAAATTGGGGTATAAACTGGCGAAATAATTATTTAATCAGAAATGAATCAGAGAAGATTGTGTTACCCATAATTAACTAAATTTCTGTTGCTAGCTATCACATCAACTGACCCAAAAAAAAAAATCCCAGGTTTGAAATCAGAAGCCAGGCAAAACAGCTGTAAATGACAATCATTTTGCCTGGTATTTATTTGTGAAACAATGATCCAGGCACCTTACCCTCATCTGCCCTCTCACACTAAGAACCCACCCTGACCTCACTATAAGCAAGAAAGGGAGTGAGCTGAGATCCTTGTGTCTCTTCACCCCTGTTGGATTTTTTAAGCCCTTTTGAAATAATTCTACATCAAATTCCCAATCTTCAATTTAAGAGACGGAGTGCTGCCCTCCCAAAAACGCAGCTGAGTAAGTTGAATGAGCCTGAGTGAAAATTCTCTAAGAATTTTCATGAAATAAAGAGAGAATACAGGCCAGGCATGGTGGCAAACACCTGTCATTTCAGCACTTTGGGTGGATTGATTGTGCTCAAGAGTCTAAGACCAGCCTGGGCAACATGGCAAACCCTGTGTCTACAAATACAAAAAAATTAGCCAGCCATGGTGGCGTGTGCCTGTAGTCCCATCTACTCGGGAGACAGAGGTGGGAGAACTGCTTAAGCCCAGGGCGCCGAGGCTGCAATGAGGCCAGATCCCACCACCGTACTCTAGCCTGGGCGACAGAGTGAGACCCTGTCCTAAAAGAGAGAGAGAGAGAGAGAGAGAGAGAGAGAGAGAGAGAGAAGACAATACCCCAATCAAGGCTTTTTCCCCCCGCAAGGACGTCTTGCAGAAGAACAGTGTTTACCGAGCACTTTCCACCATAAGCCAGGGTGACATCAATGAAACGCAGCACAGATACCAACACAGCCAATGGGTTGACAAAACAGACAGACACAGAGAAAGGACAAATCCATACATCCTAATATATCCAAACATGTCACTAAGCCCCCCAGAAAGCATTTTCCCCTCTGTTTAAAAACAATTCATGTACATCCTCAGAACCATAAAAATAAAATGTAAACGGTTAGCATGACTCTTAGTCCTATTATTTAAATTAACCATGTTTATCAATAGAAGCAACTGCTCCATGCATTATTCACCACCTCCTGCTGGGAAACAACAAGAGAGAATCTCAGCACATTTGCAAAAACTAAACAGGTAATAAATCTCAACTTATGTTTGTCTCCAAAGAGAAAGTCAAGGTGAATTCACCAGAGAGAGAAGCTACTGCTGATTCTTCTCCAAGTTCCCAGAGCTGTCCTTCCAAAAAAATCGAAAGCACTCAAACACACTCCAAAAAACACACACCAAAAAAAATTTAACTTTTTCTGTTGAAAGTCAAACTTTTGAAGTGTTTATCTCATCTCAAGCTTCCTTTTCTATTTACTTAAAAAGGAATTTCTAACATTTCAAAAATGTTGACTTTTAACAGAAAAACCTTCAAAGCATCTGGTAGAATTAGACAAAATTGACAAAACCACTGTCTCAACAGCAAGCGGGCAGTGTCCCTCCGAATGGGCAGAATTAAACTGTGCCTGGAACTAGCATTCTTTCTCTCCACAAAACTTGTCCTGTTTGAACTCTAGGAAAATCTTCCCAACCTTGCTAATACGAAGATTTTTTAGCATCAAATTTTGCCATTACCATCCCTACCCAACCTAATAGCAACTGTACTCTTTGATTTTGTTCTTTGAGAAAGCACTGTCTAAAAAAAAAAAAAAAAAAAAAAAAAAGGTTTACAAAACTTGGAAGGTAAAAGAGGTGGGCAGCATACCCTTTCTACGTCATATAGAAGAAAGGCCACCCAAAGATTATCTCGGGGAGAGACTGGCAAATGACCCATTAGCCAAATCAGACCCACAGCCTGCTTTTGCACTGCCGGGGAGAAGAAAGGGGAGCAGAGTATGAGACAGACATCGACATAGCCCGCAGAACCGGAAACCTTCGTCATCTTTCGCTGGCTGCCGACCTAGGAAGATGAACTTAGTTCATCTCACCATTTGCTATTTGATATAGTTTGGACGTCTGTCACCTCCAAATCTCATGTTGCAATGTGTGATCCCCAAAGTTGGAGGTGGGACCCGGTGGGAGGTATTTGGGCCATGGGGGTGGATCTGTCCTGAGTACCTTGGTGCCCTCCTGTGGTAAGGAGTGAGTTCTCCTCTATGAGTTCACCGGAGAAGAGGCTGTAAAAAAAAGCATGACACCTCCACTCTCGCTGGCTTTCTGTGACCCGCCTGCTCCCGCTTTGCCTTCTGCTGACCGAAAGCTTCCTAAGGCCTCTTCAGAAGCAGAAGCACTGTGCTTCCTGTATAATTGAAGAGCTGTGAACCAAAGAAACCTCTTTTTTTATAAACTACCCAGTCTCAGGTATTTTCTTATATCAACAACTACAAAACTACTAATATACTACCGATTGATGATCTCATATTTAGTGATACTACTTCTTAACTTGTAGATTTTTATCTGGGAAAGATACAAAAAAATTCTGTCCAGTAGAACACATATCCTCAAGGATTTATAGATTTACATATCGGAGTAAACACTGTGAAATGATTGTTTTGAGGATTTATGGTCCTGAAAGACACTGACTAATCTTTACTCTAACCTGGCAATCTCATCCTAACATTTTTTAAAATTGTCTTTAAATA